GGGTCTGAGGGGGTTAATTTAAGGGGACCAAGTTCTCTTTGCAAAGGCTGTGTGTTGATTGTTCAGAAGATAAGAGCCACTCCTGAAGGAGTAGATAGCCTAGGATGTGGTCTTTTGTACCTTTGCTGGACTTTTGTCCTTTTCTTTACCTAAGAAGTTTTTCAGTTCCACTATGCATCCCATATACCCCTAGACCCTATCCAAGTTGTTAACCCCTAATAAAACAACAAAAATCAAGCTCATGGTCTGTTTACTGACTGTGGATGCAAGTGTGCAAAATGCATATTGCCTGGCCATGCAGAGCTTAGAGGGACCCATTAAGCATAAGCACACATGTAATTTGACGTATGGTCACTTGAGTATTTACTATAGTCATATTTACTATCATATAGCACTTTTATTAGAGGGAAATAAGTGGTAGCACCATATTCTCCTGTTCAGTGACTGCGCTGAAGTTTTTTGTGGTTTCATTGAAATGCGGATATGTTTATGCATCTGTTCCAAACTGTAAATAACATACTGGGCAATTAGACCACCAGTGTTAACAGTCTTCAAATACATAGGTACTATCCTTCAAAACTATATATCCATAGTGTAACACCGTTTTTAATAAGTAAAAACACTTAAAAATACACTTACATAAAAAGCATGTGTATGGCACTTTAAATCCCAGAATACAGCAATTCCTTTCTCAACAGACAAGTGTAGCACTGTCAGGCCCCGCCATATACGTTTCGTCATATGATGTCATCAGGAGCTCCCGATGACATCATATGATGAAATGCATAGGGCAGGGCCAGAGCACTTAACATAAAGGATTTTCATGGATAAGAAGATTAACCATTATATCACCTAGTTTTCACATTGGATGCGGATGGAGATATTTTTTAACATTGGAACTTTCAAATGTTTGCATGTTGACTTGGAAGATCCTGATGAAGCTACGAGGGGCGTGGCGTAATGTGTAGATGTGACATAGCAACGTGGTGAAGCACCTCCGGTCCGGCGCCACCTTAGTGAACCAGAGGACTATCAGTACACCCATGTGGGATGATAATCAGATGCATTGTATTTTCTGCCCAAACGTGAGCGTTCATTTGGCGGTTTTACTTATTTAATAAACAAGTCATACAGGTTTATACTATGGAGGATTTTCTGTGTTCTCATTCCATGACTTCATTAATTTATATATGTATACTGGTACTGGCTCGTGGAGGACAAGTGGAAGGTGGAGGCGAGAATTTAGGAGCCTGTGGTGTATCCTCTAACCTGGAGAGAGCTGTGAGGTGACCTCTAGCCTGGAGAGAGCAAGTAGGATCCGGTGGTGATCCGCAAGGCTAAGAATGTAGACATAAAGGGAATACAGATAGGGGAAACTGAACATAAAGTGGCAGCCTTTGCGGACGACCTGTTGTTTTATGTGGGAAATCCTAGGATAACACTCCCGAACTTAATAAAAAGTTTACGGGAGTATGGGAAATTATCAAATTTAAAAATCAACCCAACAAAAACTGAGATCGTAAATGTAAATCTTCCGAATAGTGAGAAAGAAAAGATACAAAAAGAATTCCCTTTTATATGGAGAGATAGAGAGATAAAATATTTAGGGGTTAAACTTACTGCTTCATATACAAAATTGTATAAATTAAACTATATTGCTCTTCTAAATGAAATCAAGGAGGAATTGAAGAAACTGGGAGGAGGAAACCCCTCTTGGTTAGGACGTATAAATCTGATAAAAATTATAATTGTACCCAAAATCTTGTATAAATTTCAGATGATCCCAATTAGACTCCCAGAGGCCTTTTTTAAAGAAATTAAAAAGATAATTACAAGATTTATATGGAAAAATAAAAAACCTAGAATATCTTATAACCTGATGAGTAGTAGTAAAGAGAGAGGGGGATTGGGAGTGCCAGATTTCAGGAGATACTATAATGCTGTAGTACTAACAAGAATCTATGATTGGACACACAATGCAGAGGGGAAAAGGTGGGTTAAGATAGAGGATGAGTTGAGTGGAGTGGACTTGAGTAGAAGCATATGGGCACCTGCACAACATAGAGGTTTAAAAGACACTACAAGTGTATATACACTGAATGTTTTAAAGGTTTGGGATAATTTACATAAAGGCATGAAATGGGATTATAACTCACAGTTAATGTCACTAAGGAATATGGAGTATTTCCCACCAGGTATAGAGGGGAGGATGGGAAAATGGATTAAAAAGGAAGACATTCAACTGAGAGATATAATGGACGCACAGAAATTGAAAACACTGAAGGATTTAAAGAAAGGTGGAGGGGAACTTTTTATTAAGATTGATGAGTGGAAATATCACCAATTAAAACACTTTGTAGAAAGCCTTCCAAAACCAATGAGAGGGAGAAAGGAGTGGAATCTATTTGAGAGGTTGTTGGAATCACGGGAGATGGGAAACGGGGCACGGCAAAAATTTATAAGATTCTCACTGAGTTAGTCACAGAAGTAAAACCAATGTATATAGAAAAATGGGAAAAAGATTTGGGGATAGAGATAGATGAGGATAAACAGAGGAAAATATATAGACTTACACATGAAAATATTAGTATGAGAGAGGTGGAGGTAAATTACAAATGTTTGGTAAGATGGCACATCACACCGAGTGTTGAACACAAAATAGATGTAGAAAGAACACAAGAGTGTTGGCGAGGGTGTGGACAGTTTGGTACGTGGTTTCATATATGGTGGGAGTGTCCAAAGATTCAAAGTTACTGGGAGACAATAGTCAACTTAATAAGGAAAATTTCAGGGATAAAGATAGGACTAGATCCAGAAGCGTGCCTATTACATAGTACAGAGATACCAATGAATAAATATAAAGATTTGGGTATATGGTACTATATAAATGCAGCAAAGGGTTTGATACCTAAATTCTGGCATAGTCCAGAGGTGCCGAGAGAAAAGGACTGGGTAGAGAGAGTAAATCAGATCAGTAGGATGGATGGAGAAACTGTATTATATCCAAGAAGACAAGATGGAGGTTTACAATGGGAGATGGAGGAAATGGGAAGATTTTGTATATCAAACGAATATATGCGAAGCAATGGGAAGTGATAAGTGAAGATTCTTTTTGAGTCTATAGAGAAAGATGTAAGAGAGCAATGCAGAGTGGGAGGGTGGGGGGATGTAGTAGGGAGTAGGGGTGGAGGGAAGGGAAATAAAAAGGGGGAAATAGAAGGGGATAAGAATTTTATATGATATACGAGATTGTTGAAGGAATGTATTGCTATGCTCCTTTGTATTTTCTTTCTTCTCTTTTTATATGTATTTATAAATATAAAAAATTAATAAATATTTGAATTAAAAAAAAATATAGATTTGGTCAACATTGTGGAGCACCCAGGTAGTTCATTAAGTCTTCCTTTCAGTAAATATCTGCCTGCCCTTACAAAATGTTCAGACAGACAGATACACTGCTGATCACTGGTGCAATGCTTTAGAGGCTCTAGAAGCAAAAAATAATAAATGCACATTTGTTTACCTGCAAATAATTTGCATTTTTTTTTGTTAAAAGGTGAACTTATCCTTTAAATCTATTTCATATATATATAAAAGTGCAGAGCAACTGAACATAAATATGAATAAAAATGCAATAAACAATTACTAAAACTATGATAACATCACAACACAAAAATCTATAAATAATATCAATATCAGTGCTTGCAATAAATTTCATACACCATGTTATAGTGTCCGTGTACTCATTTAATGTCCATATATCACCTAAAAGTGTTTATATTTTAAGTAATACTCATCAGTCTCAGAGTTCAATAATATTACGCCAAACGTTCATGTTATCCAAAGCCAAGGGCAGAGCCACATGGCGTCATCGCACATGAATGGAACCAGACGTATGATGATGTATACAGTGATGTTGATGCTATTCTTTAAGGGGGGAATATTAAACTATTAAAGGAGGAAATACTCAGGTGAATACCATGAGCAAATACAGGCCCTTGTTAAAGGGCAAGGTGCACAACACCTAACTTTTTTGTACTTTATGTATATAGGTAAGCAGCGTTTACAGATGGTGGTGGCATACAAACACTGGTGAACAAGTGAATATAATCTGTATTTGCAAAATCAGTATTAATATAGCCAGTGTCAGTACAGCTGATCATAAGGACAGCTGATCCTTTTGTTCTATAAGTGAAGGAATGTTATTACTAATTGTATTGTCACCTCTCCCATTCTGTTGTTATATACACGGAATATAGCATTTCTGTACCCAAATAAAAATCTAACCATACATAAGAAGATATTGAATTTGGACTACAAAATCACCCCATACCGCATTCTACTTCCAAAGGATGAATAAACTTTCATTAGATGTACCAGAAATGATTTTTTAGATAACACTATATAGGTAATATCTCCTATCCCTCCTCCAATGAACACAAGGAGACTCTAAATGCCACAGACAACTTGCCATCACTGTACGAATTATAATAAAATGTAATCACCATATTGTAGTCCACTCTGAATACTTAACCATTTAAACTATAACCATTAAAAATTATCACAAAAAAATATTTAACAAGATATACTCTCAAAACCATGGTTGAGATGTACCTCAAACCTCTCATTGCAGCTAGGTAAATGCCTATTTACAATAATAATTCAAAGCATCAGCTTGTGAACACTCTAGAATAACTCCAAAGTTGGGTTTATCCAATCAGAAATCAAGATAGTATATCCTCAAAACAATGGTCCAAAACTAAAGTTAAGGCCTGGGTTGAAAGTTGCTTTCAAGAGCCTACTCTCTTTTTGCAATAAGATTTTATCTACTTGTCCTTAGGTGATTTTAATAGGATTTTATGTTATAACTAGAGATGAGCGAATTATTCAAAAATTCGATTCGGCTGATTCGCCGAATTTGCGGAATAAATTCGATTCGATGCGAATTTATTCGCTGCGAATTTAACTTATTAAAAGGGTTTCTAGGCTTCAGAGAGCCTTTAGATTAGTGCAGAACACTGTACCTTTAATTTAAATGCCCTTGGAGTCTGCTGGGGAAGAGAAATAATACTGTCAGTCAGTATGACATGCAGATGAGTGCCGTCGATCTTAGAATCACCGCACACTTCACTCATTTGGGCAGTCACGGGGCACGACGAAGAAGATGAAAGATGAAGAAGAAGATGAAGAAGAAGATGAAGAAGAAGATGAAGAAGAAGATGATGAAGAAGAAGAAGAAGATGAAGAAGAAGAAGATGAAGAAGAAGAAGAAGATGAAGAAGAAGAAGAAGAAGAAGAAAAAGAAGAAGATGAAGATGAAGAAGAAGAAGAAGATGAAGAAGAAGAGGAAGAAGAAGAAGAAGAGGATGAGGATGAAGAAGAAGAAGAAGAGGATGAGGATGAAGAAGAAGAAGAAGAGGATGAGGATGAGGATGAAGAAGAAGAAGAAGAAGAAGTAGGATGAAAATAAGAAGAATTCCATTCCAGCAAAAAGTGTACCTGCAGAGAGCTCCGCTATTTCTGACAAATTCTTTCTTATTTTTTTATCCTACTTCTTCTTCTTCTTCTTCTTCTTTATCCTCATCCTCTTCTTCTTCTTCTTCTTCTTCTTCTTCCTCTTCTTCTTCTTCACAGTTCCTTCACATTTACAGCGGTTGAAACATTGTATCTATTTGTTTCCATTTAGGATACAGATGTTTTTTTATTCGGAAACAAATAGATACAATGTTTCAACCGCTGTAAATGTGAAGGAACTGTCAGAGAACTGTCAGAAATAGCGGAGCTCTCTGCAGATACACTTTTTGCTGTACTGGAATTCTTCTTATTTTCATCCTACTTCTTCTTCTTCTTCTTCTTCTTCTTTAAATCCACTCATCCTTCTTCTTCTTCTTCTTCTTCTTCTTCCTCTTCTTCTTCTTCAACTATATGCCTCAGAAGAAAGAAGAAGAAGAGGAGGATGAGGATGAAGAAGAAGATGAGGATGAAGAAGAAGAAGAATTTTACAGAGAGATTTAAGATTCCATCCATAGAAAATGCAGGTTGTTCAACAATTTAATGTGAGCGTTTATGAGCAGCAGCAAAAAAATTTTGCTTTGTGAATGCAAGTGATCTTGGAAGAAACTGTTTGAGCTCACGATTGATCAACAGCTGTTGGCTCGTGTGATGGACAATTTCAAGTGAAGGATTGAAAGCTGCATTCAAGAGGATGGTCTTCATCTAAATTACATTATTTTTCATAACCAATTAAATAACTCAAATGGCATGTCTTGACCTGTGTTTTTGTAAAAATAATTAAATTTTCAGTTGAAAATCTATGGAGTACTGTTTTTTTCAAAACCGTCCGAATCCCATCGGTCACCCTGTATTACACTCCAAATTGATAATCAATAGCAGTATGCAATTTAAAAGTGAAAATTTTATGAAAATAATACAAGTAATATAGAAAATCCAGTATTTTTTTGTTTATGGCAAACACAGGGTTTGTTCTCAGCCAAGCCTTTAGTATATATCTCTTTAAAACAGATACAAAATATTATAGTGAAAAACAATTTGTTTAAGATGAATCTAGTATAAACATGCCAGAACAATTGGTAGATAAGTATGTTGAATGGGGAGAGGGTTAGTTTATGCCTTTGGTTAGTTGAAATATGCATGCAATTTACAAGCAAGACAAATATGTACATTCAACATCCTACTACCACCCGAATCCTCCTCAGAGCCATCTCCTATTATTCTTGATAAATTCATACCATCAAAATATACCATCAAATAAAATGTATAAAAAGATAAGTAGCAGTTGTAACTGTTATCCAGTGTCTGAACACTATACAACATTTAAAATCTGCAGTAAAAATAATGTATTTTCTAAAACACATATCCAATTGATGTGACTTTTCTCAAGATCATAAGGACAAACATCCCACTGCTTCCATTATTTACATTGGAAGGAATGACTGAAAAGGATCGTATTGTTTATATCATTTTTTACTTTCTTCATTTTACCTCTCAGGGTGAAAGAAATAAGGAGTCCCTTATGGAACATTGTTCATTCTCATCTAACTCGCTGAACAAAAATTGTTCTTTGTGAACCATAACTACTAGTTGATAAATGTATATATTTAGTCTTTTTTTTCTATCAAGTTCTTCTATTTCTGTATTATTACTATTATACTTTCTGGACACTTTTTAACTCATGAAAACTGTGGATATATCTGGTTGGGGATCCCCAGGTGACTCAGTGGGCTAACATTTCACCTCAGCCTCAGGGTGGAAGCCAGACTGGCAATCTACTCAGACTGTAGAGCAGCTTTAAATACAGTCCTGGGAAACAAGAGAAACTCTAGAAGCAACACATACCATTCCAAGGCACAGCCTTGCAGGCAAGGGAGCTTTCTAAGGTCACGCAAATATGTATACCCTTCCCCCCCAGCATGCATCACTACCAATAAACGGTCTATTTCATAGCTCATTGTTGTACACTGTTTAGAAAAAAGCCAGAGAATGCTCATGAATAATATGAATTTCTGCTTGAATTCCGTTAAAAAATGTAACCTGAACTTCATTTAAGTTTTGATGCAAAATAATTCAAACATGCATACCATTTTACATTGACATGCATTACTGAAAAAATGGTCCTAATATTCAGAATAATAGATGAAAATGTATATTAACCTTCATCATTTCTTGGAAGAATAGTAATTCAATTCAGCCATTCAAATTAGCAAGTTCAGTACATTTAATTACAGTTTTAGTTATTTTTACTTTTAGCCCTATTAGAATTTTCAGTTTAAAGCACACTGTGTCTAAATCCAAAGATATTTAAAAGGACTAAGAACAAGTACAAAAGTCATTCCAAACACTTGTACAGCCATTGGTACATAGTAAAGCAACAGCACCACACTGTGCAGCCATTAAATGGAAGACAAAGAGCCCAGAGCTGAGAACCAAGAATCTGAAGGGATATTTTCTAATAGATAACTTCTTTGTTCACAAGTTTGTGACTTTACTATAAAAACATACAATGGTGATGTTTATAGGAGGCTGCAATAGAAGAAACCAGGGACTATTTTTTGCTTCCTCAAATTTGCTGAAAATCACCCAGATAGTCCACAGTAATAATGAACATTGTCATGTGAATAGATGGGGCATGGTAATATGATTTTTAAAAAAGGTTTGCTTACCAGTGCTAAAATAAAACGTTGAAGTGTGTGCTATAGAGAGTATAACAGGGCGGATATGCTTTGCCATCTCATAGTCAGTACAGCTGGCAGTTATCGTAGGACTCATGAATTTCAGGTTGTAGCAATAAAGTTCCACAGCAGAATGTGAAGAAGCTTTTCTGTAGCCTAAATGAATAAAATGCACTTAAACTGACAATGATCCATAACAAAAAAAAAAAAAAAAAAATCATAGTGCCTAGTGGCTCAAGGTTACAATTCTGTATGTAAAACTATTCATAGTCAGAGTTCTGATTTCATTGCCATTGAAAGCTGTGACTTAATCTGAATCAGGTCATTTACCCTAAAACAACATCTTGAAGCTCAGAGTAAAAGTATTCTTAGCCATACATGAAGGCAATTTTCTAATTTCAACCTATAATATTTAATTTCAAGTATAATGAGCACCTTCATTTGTAGTTCAACAAGCCAGAACTTTGTTGGTCACACCTTATTGGTCACAGTTCCTTACCCCATTCCATGTTGCCTTGCCCTTACATATGCACCATGAGCCCTTTCACTTGCTCTTGCAAGTGCCAGGACCAAAGATGTGATTTTACACCAGTGCACAAGTATAATTGTGGCATATGACTTTTTTTTCTCTTGTAATCCCACCTGATGTGCTTCTATGGTGCTGTGACCAAGTAGAGCAAGTTGCAGGACTATAGAAAGCATATACAATATTTTACTGTTTGAGTGTAAATGTCTACTAAATGTCTACTTTAATGAATACCTCCCAAAAATATACATAAACCGACACTTATCCAAAGAACATATACACAGATTTTTCTGGAAATTGTGAATCAGTAATTTAGCAAAGGCTCCAGCCAAACCATTTTTCGTTTTCTATAAAGTGGGGAATTAGTAGAAGCTCTGTAAAATTTTTGTTGTTATCTTTTTCCCCAAATCAAAGATATCCATTTATTTTTTTCCACAATGACTGGGATCCCAGACCCAAATAATAGAAATAATAAAACTTCTGTCAGTGTTATATTTCTGTGTCACTTTTGAGGAGATTTGTGCTTTTCCTCCTGCCCTGATAACAGTGACATCCAGGACAGGACGTAGGCGTAATCTCCTATTGCAGAGGTTTTGCTTTTTTTCTATACTGCAGATGATAACAGACTGCAATTCTCAAACATCTACAAATATAACCCTAAAATGTGGGTAAAAAATGCGGTGTCAGACGCCAACACAGATTACCAGATACATTTAACTACACAATGAAACTGGGATCAAACAATGTATAATTAAGTAAATTTATTGTCAGTCCCCAGCAAAAATTTGTATTAATGTGCATAAAGAAGCCAAGGAAAGATGGAAAAATCTCCAAAAGGCATCAAATTACAGATTAGACATTCTTATAATATGTCAACAAAAGTTAGATTTTATTTCCATCATTTACACTTTCAAAATAACAGAAAACAAAAAAAAATGGCGTCTGCAAAAGTTTGGGCACCCTGCAGAGTTAATATCTTGTACTGCCCCCTTTGGCAAGTATCACAGCTTGTAAACGCTTTTTGTAGCCAGCCAAGAGTCTTTCAATTCTTGTTTGAGGTATCTTTGCCCATTCTTCCTTACAAAAGTCTTCCAGTTCTTTGAGATTTCTCGGCTGTCTGTCACGCACTGCTCTTTTAAGGTCTATCCATAGATTGTCAATTATGTTGAGGTCAGGAGATTGTGAAGGCCATGGCAAAACCTTCAGTTTACGCCTCTTGATGTAATCCCCCGTGGATTTCGAGGTGTGTTTAGGATCATTATCCATTTGTAGAAGCCATCCTCTCTTTAACTTCAGCTTTTTCACAGATGGCATCAAGTTATCATCCAAAATTTGCTGAAATTTTATTGAATCCATTTTTCCTTCTACTCGTGAGATGTTCCCTGTGCCACTGGCTGCAACACAACCCCAAAGCATGATTGATCCAACCCCATGCTTAAAAGTTGGACAGAGGTTCTTTTCATTAAATTCTGTGCCCCTTCTTCTCCAAACGTACCTTTGCTCATTTCGGCCAAAAAGTTCAATTTTAACCTCATCGGTCCACAGAACTTGTTTCCAAAATGCATCAGGCTTGTCTATATGTTCATTTGCAAAGTTCAAACAATGATTTTTGTGATGAGGACATAGAAGAGGTTTTCTTCTGATGACTCTTCCATGAAGACCATATTTATACGTATATACAATATGGCAAGCAAGGGTAGCAGGAGCATTGCAAAAAAAAAAAGGGGGAATCAGGACTGGGTACAGGAACAAAGCAAGCAGCAGTAAGAGAACACGATGCAAGGATCATTCAAGAGCAGGATGACTGTGGCAGTAAGCAAGGCAATCAAAACACTGACACAAAGTGTGTTAGTAGAGACAGGCTTAAGTACCAGGTGGAGCTGACTGCAGGAACCTGCTGGCTGCTGGGAGACACCCGCTGGTGCACACCAGAACTGCACACAGGGAAGCACAGTGTCACCAGCAAGTGAGCCAGGTCCTAACATATGGTCACCATATAATTTTGTCTACGTCTATTACATAGGGTATTGTGATATAAAGTCAATAGAAAAGTCTTGATCCTGCCTGTAGATTGGATACAATGTATTATATTTAGGTGAAAGTCCATCTAAAGCAGTGGTTCTCAACCTTTCTAATGCCGCGACCCCTTAATACAGTTCCTCATGTTGTGGTGACGCCCAACCATAAAATTATTTACGTTGCTACTTCATAACTGTAATTTTGCAGTGGGAGGACTAGGGCCCCATCACTGATGTCAG